GGGATAAAAAAAAAAAAATAAAAAAAAAAAAAACCCAAAAAAAAAAAAAAAAAAAAAAAAAAGCAGATGGAAAGCTAAGCAACCCCCAAAAGAGTCACTTTATTTTATTCAGTTCAACACATTTGACTGAATATTGCATTTGAGGTCATTGCCGGGGGCTTTTTTATTTTATTTCTCCTTTGCTGTCCTCACTCTGTAATGAGTTTTGTTTCCCACTATGATACCTGAAATACCTTCAAGGATTATTGCCATTTGTGGAACACATTAGCTTTCTTATCCCCTCCTTTGAAGAGGCACAGAAACCATTTAACCACAGTTATGGTTTCCAATTAGAATAGTAGTTTTACTGAATCCAAGTGAAAATGTACCTCCATGTGATAATATAGAACATTTTAACATTCTTTAGCAAGTAAGTGGGAATTGTTTTTCTTGTTTACAATGACCTGGATTCCTTAAAAGATTAGTAGATATTTCCAATTGCTACATCACATTTTTAACTTTTTTTTTTTTATTTAACTGCAAATCTCCTCTAGGGTAATGCTGTGATTTAGGTACTTTCATTTGAATTTTTATTTACATGTTTTAGATTGGGATCACAGAAATTACAAAAAGAACTGTTGATGCCCTTTATTATGTGATTATCTTTTTCTTTAGGAGAAAATTTCTCAACTAGCATTACTTAAGTTAGTCAATAAGTTTACATAAAACCATATGACCTAGAAAATTGTGACTTTACATGAGATTTTTGTGTGTATATTTTTACTATCTACAAAGGAGTTGCAACAAAGTAGCTGTAGAAACACACTATTTAATAGTAACAATCAAGTAAATATTACAGATCAGATTCAGTGTTGAAAGGATTAATATACAAATAGAATTTTCTAGTACTTCAAGACAAAAAGAGAAAGGGACATAAATTAAACTGAATAGTATTTTTTTCTTTTTATTGAATATCACACAAAAGATGATAGTTTCAAACAACATAAGCTGATGTATTTTAGCCTGGTTTACAAACTAAATGCAACACTGATGGAAAAACTGAAAGCATTTAGGACTTTAAAAGGGATGCTGATAATACATATATGGGGTCACCGTTCTCTGGGATCTCTCTGTACCTTCTTCTCAATTTTGCTGTATGCCTAAAACCATTCTGAAAAAAATACAGTCTTAAGAACAAACAAACAAAAAAACTAGGGACCACAGATTGATTTCAATAAACAGTTCCTTTTGCTATCATATAATATGCATTTCTAAAATTGATAGCGCCCTGTCGAATCTGAAAACAGAGTAATAAGAAAACAGAGTCTAGCACTCAAAAAAATGTCATCATGACACACACTCAAAATATAGGAATTTAATAAAATGGTAGCCCAGCTTTATACATATTAAATACACAAAAAGTACAGTAAAGGTGGTACATTACCTTGGGGGAAAAACTCCAAAATGTGCTTATGGAAGTGGTGCCCATTATATGTATTCCCAATCACATCCCTCCCACCCTGTGTGTAAGAGAGAAAGAATAAGAGAGTCCTTTGGTAGAGAAGCAGTAAAATACAATGCTCTGCAAGGCAGAACCACATGGGAAGGTTGCTGAATCAAGACAGGACACCTCCCTGAGTTCACTGAGCACACACCATAGCCATGACCCATGCTGCCAGAAACCGGGAGTGATCAGTGCATCAAAATCCTGTCATGGGTGGTATAATCTCTGTTTCTCGCTCTCTCTGTCTCTTTTACTCATGGAATAAATAAAATGAATTTTTAAAAAAAGTAAAGTAAATAGGGGGCAAATATTGAAATACATATAATTAGAAACTTTGAGGGAACTAGAAAGTGGACTGAGAGGAAGTGGGGAAAGCTGAGCAAAACAGAAGACTCCTGCCCGGACGGCCGTCTGAAGGGTGGCAACTTGCAAGTTATTGTGAAGGGAGGGAGGGTTACCTGAGATCAGATAGAAGCTGTAGCAAAGATACGGTTAAGGGTGGACCAGTGTGTCTCTAAGGTGTGTAGCTCTGTGTGCTTCGTATTCTACTAAGTGGGTCAGTTAACTGAGTGTGCTTTCAATGTTTACCCAGAATTTCTGGCACGAAACTGTGCATTAATAAATGCCGATTTCACATTATGCCCAAATTATGTCCTAATGTTATCAGTCCTGTTGGAAGAGTTTTATGTTTTCAAAACAAGCATTATTAGCAGGGGTGGCTGTATTTCCATTCACTTAATTTATCACATAAGAGAAAAGACAAACAGAAAAACTGTAGTAAATGCTGTATCATGTTAATACCCGAAGTATCCTTGTGCAGGATGTTGAGGGACAAGAGGGGCTACAGGTACAAACGGAAAACCATTGTGTTGAGCCCTGTGGCTAGTTCTGTCTGAATCTATGTGTGGTAGTTTCTTGTACTGAAGTAGAGATGCTAACTGTTCTCCAAGGGCGTGTCTAATCTGTGACTAACATCACTAACTGTGATGTCTATGGGTAAAGACAATCCTTTGAGTACTGGCTTTGATGGCTTTTTACAGAGTACCCTTTTAAAATTGTGTTCTTTGTGAGGCGTTCTTTTCAACTTGGCTGCTCCCCAAGACCTTTGGTCAAGAAGAATCACCGTGGTCATGCTCCCTCTGGGGTATCCCAGTGTGTCCTGCTTTGGCGCATTCCAAGCACTGTCCATGGTTCACTGAGTGCAGTAAGGGTTTCATTGTTGGAGGACACAGGCATTGTTCCAGCTGTGTGTTTAGGTTTCTGATCTTGACAGTAAAATATGACATCCTCAGAGGTGTAACACTGGCACTCCCTACCTCTGTTTTATGGAAGTCGCCAGTTCCTTGGGTTATCACAGTACCTTTGGCTCGCCTCAGTTGTTCTGTCTGATTTTTTTTCTTCTCAACTGACCAAAAGCGTGTAGTCAGGCATTTAAGATTAAAATATTCTCTCTGATCATTAGGCCTCAGTCATAGAAATTATCAGTGGATCTATCTTTAATCATGATCATTCTAGATAATCCTGTTTGGGTAGTGATTACTTAACACTAGGAAATAAGAGTGTATTTTTTCTCTTTTTCATTGCCAGTGGGTACATGTACTCACTAGAGAGAGAATTTGGTACACACATGCACCAGACGTGTTCATCAAGCCACCAGGGCTAAGACTTGAATCTCAGTTGACTACATGGGGCTCAAATTTCCACGCACAGCACTTAACTGCTGCGCTAAGCACTGGACCAAGAGATTACTTCTAACTATGGCTGTCCTTTGTTAGCTTTATTGTCTTTGGACCTAACTACTCTTAGCTTTAGTACTTTTTTGTTCATCTCTAAAATGGGCAGTGTAAAATTTACCTCTAAAGATTCACGATAAAATGTATAAATCACTGACTACATAACAGAGGCCAGATAATTATTGCTGTTGTGATTGTATGTTTTCTATTCTCATACATCTGATTTTTGACAATTTGTTAAAAATTACAGTGACCTGGGGACCGGCAGTTAGTGTAATGACTATGTCGCTGGACTCCCATGTAGTCTACCACGGTTCGTGTCCCAGACCCGGTGGCTTAAAACTCACGCCAGGCACATGTGCTTGCGTGCCCAAGTTCCTGAGAGGAGAATGGAGGAGAAGGGATTGTGGTGTGGCCATCCTCCCTGGAGGGTGATTTCTCACTTTCTGTCTCTCTGTCTCTCTCTGTCTGTCTGGCGAGCACATGTGCCCTATAGCAAAAACTTCTCCAAAAAAAA